AATCTCCTATTTAAGGAGACACCATTATTGAATGAGGATATCAAATATCCAGTCAAGAAAGAGAGTAAAGGAGAGTTAGGTGATCTCTTGAACAAATCACCATTAGGRYRCCTAGATAGGTCCATCAAGAGCAGGGAGGAACAAGGGAAAACAGAGGGTTTTCCCCGTGGACCGACCCGTGACGAGATCCTATTCCCGGGCCCATAACATCCTAGATCTAACCTTTTTATCCCATTTTTTTGCAGATTGAAGCCATTGACTTTGGGGGTGATATGAAGATTTTAGATTTGGGGGAGGGGTTCAAATCTATCTTCCTTGATTGTACTTGTTTTCTTCTTCCTCCCCTCTATCTTCCTCGATTAGATTTGTTTTCTTCCCACAAAATAAACATGGAAAAAGGAATTTTCCTTTATATAACCAAACAATGAAATGTGAAAAATTCACACCTTCTCATCCCATCCCACCCAAAGCTTCCCACAAACCAAACGGAGCCTTGGTCTAACCTATAGGAAACCCCTTTGTGGTCAAAGTTGTATAGGTTTATCTTCTACTTAGCATGGGAGAATTATTGGGGAAACCTAGTGTCTAGAGCTATGCCTATGGTAACCTCAGATCATTGTCCCATAAGAATAGGTTTAGAAGATTTTATTAGTGGACCTAGACCATTTATGTTTTAGAACATGTGGCTTACCCACCCGAACATTGTGAACAAAGTAAAAACTTGGTGGAGTGAGGAGTTGAGGGGAATAAAGTGGATATGGGTAAGATTTCACAAGAAATTGCAGAGGTTAATATTCAAAATAAAAAAATGGAATAGGTTTGGGAGAATTGAGGAACAAAAAGTGTGCCTAACCTCTAGGATAGAAGAGTTGGATGAGAAAGAACCCCAAAATGGTCTATTTATGTCTAACAATGATAGAAACTTGGGGAGACAATTGAAGAAAGAATTGGAAGAGGTATTGCTGAGAGAAGACATAAGTTGGAGACCAAAATCAAGGCATAGGTGGATTAAGGAAGGGGATGGAAATACAAAGTCCTTCATGTTGTGGTAAATGGGAGGAGGAAAAAGAATTTTGTATCTAAGCTAGAGATAGGTGGGGAGATGCTCACAAATAAGGAGGATATTGCCGGGAAGTTTGTGGACCAATTTAAATCAATTTATAGAAGACCCTTGAACGAGAGTCTAGAAATGGAAGGGGTAGATTGGCCAAGATTGGATGAAGAGAAGATTAGTTGGTTAGAAAGGAATTTTGAGGAAGATTAAACGAGCAGTGTTCTTAATGGATAGATCAAAAGCTGATGGGGATCAACTTAGTCATATCAAAAGAGAACCAAAGCTGCTCCTATGCTCATTTGGCATCATTATGAAGACGTGGGGTCCACATGAGAGCTGGGTTAGCAATGCATCAACTTGGGAAGACCCTAGAGTCTTCAATCCACCTTAAGATGTTTGTGTGGTTAAGCTCTCTGCTGGACAGGACTTATTTGGTTTTCTTACATTTTTGGACTGCAAGGGTATTTTTTTAATTTTGCATGTTTAGTGGGTTATGTTTGGGAACAGGTCTTAGTCTAGTAATTTCCCTTTGTTTGGATTTATGTTTGTAATTGTCCGGGGCAGGTTTAGTCTAATCTAGCTTCTTTTGTAAGTGGCTTGTTAGGCAAGCTAACATGGGGGGCAAGTGTCTTCCTTTAGAATCTTCTTCTTATTAAGCTTGTAAGTCTCATTTGGGGAACAGTTTTGTTGATGAACAAAGAAAGTTTATGTACAGAATTTGGTA